GGGAACTGTATTCTCGAAAGGCTTGTCGAATAGCATTGAGAGCCACTGTATTTTGTTGATCTACGGTCACCACTAAATGCAAAATTATTTCAGTAAGTTTAGTTTAGTACGGTTTTAAAATATTATAATATAATAAATTTTACTTTTCATACTTAATTTACTAGTTTTATTATATCGAAAAGTCTAAAACTTTTAATTTGAATGTAAATAACTGCAAATTTTTAAGTCCTTACCTGCGATTAGATCTTTAGAAGCGACGACTCTTAGGATTACAAAAAGGATTAAAATTATAAACGAATTTTTAAATTTGTTTCGCATTTTATCGATTCATTCAAAGTTTGAAAGTTTTCAAATGGATTATAAATTTGAGTCCTAGTATTATATTAATTTGTGTATTGTATTAATTGAAATTGTTTTCTTATGTGATTCAGTATTTAAATCAATAAAAGGCTTTCGCATAGGAATAACACAAAGACCCAGACATTAATGGAACAGAATATGATTGGATAGAAAGGCCTATAAAAAAGATAATTTTATAGATTTTTAGACAATTATTTCTTATTCGAGAATTAATCTGTCGCTACGGTTACTGTTGTGGTGTTTATTTGTCACAAAAAACAACTTAAGTGTTGAATGTTTTGTCATAAGAATGCAATTATTAATGTGGTTTACATTTTATTAGTATAAATCAATACTAATGTATGCGATGACACTTGAAATGCTTTAATCATTAAAGTTTAATGAGTTACTGTATTTTCAATGGCTTTTTGTTTTTAATGTGTTGACGAATATATAAAAAAAACTCTCATGAAAGTTTTTAAATTGCTCAATTTTTATTTTAATTTAAATTTTTTAAGTTTAGAAATTATATCAAATCACATTTAATTTTTATTTGAAAACAATTATTTAAAAATAGTGGATTTATGTACTGTAATAGTGGATAAATCATTTATGATCACATTTTCAAAAATAAATTATAAATAATTAACTGATAGAATAACATTAAATAGAATTTATATCATTTATTCCAATTAGACATAAAAATATATTATTATTATTTGCACAAAAGTTAGAAAACTTTTTTGAATAAGAAATTTCGGATTTGTTTTTGTGGTTGTGTTGAGCAGTTGTGCAAAGAAGTTGTGCACCATTTGTGTTAGACATTGAGAGACACTTCTCATTGAACCCCAAAGTTATTCTTGTAGTTGGATTTGATGGGATCGTAACTGAAGTAATTATAGTTGTCTTTCGAGTTGTAAGTGGTTTGTTGGTCTTTATTACCGAAGACGGACGGCGCTCTCTTCTGGTTGGCGCCCAACTGGGGATTGAAATTACGGGCTCTGTTAGGATCGCCCCAACCGGCGGGTAGGGCTCTTCCATCCTCGGCCTTAATGTTGGGATAATTAAACTGCAATTTAGTTGGATTCCTGGCATTAGTTGCCACCAAACTATTAGTTGTGTTGATCCACGAGCTGTACAGAGAGCCCTGATTCACCTTTTGGTAGAAGAGCTTCAATTTATCCCATTTGTTTAATTGCTGTTTGCCTGTGAACTGAATGGCACCGGCAGTCAACTTGATCCTCTTATTGCTCTTAAACATCTCCCCGAATAGAGACCCCAAACCAAATAGTAAGCCGATCCCCAGTATAAAGAAGCAGCCAATCATATGAGCCATTCCTATCTTCTTCACGTCTCCGGCCCTCACTTTTTAATTATACAATTCATATTATTTTTAGTATCAATCTCTCACATGATTTATAACGTACACTATACCAGTATAAGGTGTAGTGTACAGAATATAGTTTATCATATTATACTGTTATATACAGTACAACAGTTGTGAAGACAACAATTTACAGAATTATAAACAAGTAAAACCTACCGACGAGTGGATACAAGCAGTCATTCCCCTTGACTTCATATTTATTATTCCACTGAATAACAAGTCCTGATTTAGCCATTCGTCCGATTCTTTAGATAATTAAATAACAGATTATAATAAAATATTAGATTTAAAACAAACATTTAAGAGAAACTGACTCGTAGTCCAGCCTTTCCCTAAAACCCTTTGGCTGTGCCTTTCTGATTACAAAAGACACAGAACTGGTGAACACCGGCTCCTTCGCGATCATCATTTCACAGGTTTTGGTGTCGTTGTAGTCGAGAGTAATGAGATACCGGACCTCTGAATCACTGGCCAAGAATGCCAGTTCTCTGTCCTTTACTCTTCGGTAGAGATCTTTATCTCTCTTCTCAAAGAACTCCATATTAGAGGCCAACTGTTTGAGGGGGCCGTGAGTCGCCCCCTCTATTAACTCGTGCATAGCACCGCCCTTATCGGTACCCCATTTCATGGATCCTTTATATGACAACAAGTCTTCGAGATTCTCAATCGGATGTATAATCTTAGGGAATGTGAGGAGAGCCACAAGATTTCCACTATAAGTGGTGACCGTAACGATCACAAAGAGCCACCAAAATGTCACTAAAATTCGACCCGATATGGCGAGTGGTAAGTGGTCGCCACCCTGTTGTACCATTGCTCCAAAACAGTACCAGGTACAGTTGGACAGCTTGAACAAACCTTTATTGTCCCTCATATTGTAATAATCGTAATATTTACTCGATCTGTGAACGATCCAAAGTAATGGACCCATTATTATGACTGTTATCAATATACTGACCCAGGCCTATAAGCAATTATTTATCATTAAATTAATATTTTATTTTCATCATATCATTAATATTTCTAAAAATGCATATTTTAAAAATTATTCTATACAAATGATAACAAAATTGAAATGATTTTATTAAAACCAAAGTTTTCAATTCTGTATCTAATCAAATATACGAAACCGTGAGTCATATAATGACACTTACATCCCATGTGAAAGGTGTGAGGAACAGGTATTTATGATCTTCACTGGTTTTTTGGATCATCATGGACATCTCCTCCTTGTCAAATGGGAACGTGAAGTCAACGGCATCCATGCGGTCAACTGTTCTCCAATAGCCATTGGCTGCGATTTCCACTTTATTGTTGAGTAGTTTTCCAATCATCCCGGTCCATTCCTTCTTCTCCTTATTGAATCGTCCCAAAGTAGTGGTTGAGTCCACTTCCCATTTAATCGTGAAATTCATTTTTGTTGACAAAATCTTAACCATATGATATGTGGTCCCGTTGATATCGGATTCATTTTGATACGGTTGCCTTATGTTCACTAATGGGGGTTGCTTTGGCACAGGGAGGGAAAAGTGACAATTGTTCAGATATTTTATTTAAATACTATTAAATAATGTAGCTTTTTATTTTTATTATTAACTATTAAATAAAGTATTAATTAAACATGAAAATCAGTTCAAGAGTGCTTACATTGACAATTCCCACTACAACGTCTCTGTTCTTGAGATTACCTTCTTCATACCCCAATACCTTTCCCTGATCTAACAGTCCTTTAAATGGTGACCAAATAGCAGTGTTTTCCACTAAAACCTTAAATTCTGGATTATCTTCAACTTCGTTGAAAGCGTTTTTATCCTCATTTTCTGAACCAATTCTATGCTTATAAATGGATTGAATGACAAATCGGTCGCAATTTCCACAATATTGAGACATTGACCTCTCATTTCCCAATTCCAGCTGAATTATAAACAATCATCGAAAGGATATTAAAAACTTTTAAATATAAACTTTTTATATCAAAACTAAAGTATAGAATATATACTATAGAATCTATAATAGATACATTGTATACATTTGTATCTCATTGTATTTTAAACGTATGATTTTGATAGAGTATAAGTTATGTGAGATTTGATTGACACAAAAACTCACTTTCATTTCAGCGATCACTCTGTTCTTCGTCTGTGCCTTCACTTGTTTGGTGTCATTGAAGTCATAAAATGGGAGTTCAATCACTTTCCTGATGGCATTGCGTAGGGTTTCAAAGGCCAGTCTCATCTGACAGCCCTCTTTCAATTCACTGCACTTACTATAGACCGATATCTCTCTCTTAACAATCGCCACATCAGTCACACTGAAGATGGGATTCATTCGTCTCCAGAAGTGGGAAGTGTCGGGAATGGGCTCTGCGATGATTACAATCCATTTCCTTGGCTCAAGTATTAGTGCCCTTTGATGTGCGGCAGTTATAAACTCCTCAATTGTTTGACTGCCGCCGATCACTACAAAGTATTTCATTGACTCGTCATTTGTAATCATATCCAACACTTGACTCGTATTGAAACCATTTTTATGCGACAATTCGCGTGATTCTCCCTCAAATTCATAGTCATTGATTTCAAGCCTATAAGTGGTTACAGTCGTCGCTACGACTCCAGAACCGGTCACTCCTTTCAGACCTTTTATCAAATCGTCTAAAGTTTTTGTGTCTGTATTTGAATCATATTTTGAGAACTCATCGCAATATAAACTTATGGATTAACTTTGATTAACTTCAAACCTAATCTTTTGTCGTGAACCAAATGAATGTCATCCCATTCACTCATAAAGTCATACTTCATATCGATTAGCATTGGTATTATATCATCCACTGAACGCATCACTGAAGTGGTTGTGTTTATTTGATTAATTAATTTTGTTTTACAAAATTTCTTATACTGTATTCAATATTTTGGCTTATTGGTTTAACTCAAATTATGTTATATTTTTTGCAAATATTTGAATTTTATATGCAAACATGAGGTGTTCACAAAAATGCTAACTAAGTACTGTACTATATATCATACCAATATTTATATAATGGTATCATTAAATTGGTTGTACCTCGTAAGTTATTAATATTACGGGATATTAGGAAATCATTTCATAAACATAACTTATTAAAGACTATAGTTTATAATAATTCTTAAACATATAATTAATAGTGATATAATAATAAGAAATTAAATGTAAAATATTGACAAATATATGACAAATCAAACCTGGAAAACCTAGTCCCTGGTCAGCTGGGGGTCGGATGCAGTTGTTTTCAATGACAGACAGCAATAGAGTTGACGGACAGTTCTCTCTTAATATCGAATAAAGAAGTTTTGTTTTTCCACATTTCAGTGCACTTATTATAACCATTAGCTGTTGACCTAATAATAAACATAAATTGTTTGTTTCAATTTCTTATCAAATCATTGAATAATATCCATAAGAATATCTAAATTTATTATATTAGAGGCTAAATGAATATAAAAGTTTATAAAGTTAGAACTGTTTATAATCAACGAATCGATTAGTGAAATACGTCCATAATTTTTGTGTTTTATTTATGCATTCGCACTGTTTCTCGAATAATAACATATAGAATCTTATTAATCTTATAAATAAATAAATAAATAAATAAATAGAGAGAGAGAGAGAGAGAGAGAGAGAGAGAGAGAGAGATTAAGTGGATAGATATTGCATTATTAATAAACATCAATTCTAATTCCGCTTATAGTGGTGGGATTATTATTGTATTTAATGTTATAATATGAATATCTAGAATCTGCTTAACATAGTAATACAATAAAAATAATACAATTCAAACAGACAATGGATATCTGAATAATCTTACAAATATTCAATAGAAAACAACAGATTGTTTAAATATTGTCAAAATGGTTTATATGATGTACTTCTAAGAGGACTTACAGACAGAGGGATCGTCTTCGATGTCATTCTCGAATTCGTCGAAATCTGATATAATGATTGTCTCGACGGACACATTGTTGACCAGTTGTTGTCGAAAATCTTCGACCAATCGGTTAATCGTCTCATTAGTAATCGCTTTTACGGTTTCAATATTGTAGTCCAAAATCAGCCCTAAGTTTATGGCAATACAATTGATTTTTAATTTAGATGTAATCAATAAAACTTAATGAATCATAAAATATGAATGAAACCTAATCTTAAAACTTGAGGCGTTGTATTCAAGAAGCAAAATAAATGTCCAAAAAATATTAATAAACTAAAAACTCTGATTTTAAACATTTTATTTGAATTGAATTCTATGTTTAACTCATATCTTCTTTTAGTGAATCTTTTAGTACAGAATGTAATACAAGTCCTTGAAATTCAGTCAACACTAGCACTGAATTTCCAATAAACTATTTGTACTAAAGAAACACTTATTTTGACATTTATTAGAAAGTTCTTTGTTATACAAGAAATCAATAAAACAGTTGTGAAAGTGTTTGTCAGTTATTTTATTTTCATAAATTAATTGTCATTTAATGATATGTTTTGTTGTTATGCCAACAGATTTGCTTTAGTCGGACAACACATTTTTAAGTTAAACATAACTTCAGATTCAATATCCTATAGAATGTATTGATTATAACATTTATATTATTAATATTATACTTCTTATTACAACAAACAGACAGTACTTTATTTAATCGTATTATACATTAGATCTTAAAACAAAATATAATGAGATTTAATTGAAATTATATTTCAATAATTTTTACAATCAATATTTTAATTGCCCCAAATAATTAGATTTAAAAATATTTTTAAAACTAAATTAATAAATAACCAATTAATATTTTTATTTAAATAAATTTATTTAATGAAATTATATTTATATTCATTTTATAACTTATTTGCAAACTATAAAATTTTATATAATCAAATACTAGAATCACTTTATGTGACTACAAATTAAATAATAAATTAATTAAAAAATTGAATCCAAATAATTGGACCAAATCTTCTCGTCAACGGATCCTTTCATTTGATTTGTTTGACATCTTTTGTCAACAAAACAGCTCTCTATTCAAGCATTCAATAATCATTTTATTAAATTCAAGATGAAATCAATGAAAAACTTATAAATAATTGTTGTAAAGTATATTACCTGATGTACAACAGATTGAGTCGACAGCACAGATACCTTTCCCATTAGCGCACTGTTTACCTTCATTGGTACAGAGATGAGGACTATAGTCTTCAGTACTGCAAACTGCCGTCAATTTGTTATTCATATGACAGCCAATGGATTCCCCGCAACATATGTTGGGCCCAAAGCAACGCCCGGCTCCTGACCCACAACGGGTGCACTTCAGACCATAGATGCGTTCAAATGTTAAAATAAGCTTGATAATATTCATAAACTCTTAGAGATACCTGTTTCTTGGGACTATCACCTCTCAGCGATCTCTTACCACCGGGTGGACAGTTAGTTATAAAGCAAACCATAGATGCGTTCAAATGTTAAAATAAGCTTGATAATATTCATAAACTCTTAGAGATACCTGTTTCTTGGGACTATCGCCTCTCAGCGATCTCTTACCACCCGGTGGACAGTTAGTTATAAAGCAAGCAGATGTGACCACAATAATTACAACTAAAACACTTAAAATCATTAAACTTTTTTGTGAATTCATTTCGAGATTTTGTTGTTTGTTTGAAAAGAACTCAAGTGTTTGTATTGAAAGGATTGTTTCATTTGAACAGAAGATCCGCTGTTTATATAGTCTTCAGAAAGGATTTATTTATCCATTCATTCACTGATCCGCTGTATTCTATGCGTTATCTAAGTCTCCATTTGATTGATAACTATATGATCACTGGTTAAGACATAAGAGCTTATCTGAAATGCAACGAATAAAACAATTTCTCATATTTGGAGTCTTAATATAATGCAATCCAAAGAATATTCTCATCATTAAACTGAAGGCAAAACCTACGCAAAGAACATCTTTTATTTAAATAATAGTCTTTATATTAGACATAAATAAATAGTAATTTAGAATAAAGTAAAAACTTAATTATATTATAAATATTATAAAAACATTTTTCATTATTTGAGTTGATTTTCATTGAGAGATAAATCTAAAAAAGGAATTATTGACGAATCAGAAGAGACTTCTTGAAGAGAAACCCGTCGTTTGAATCGATTGTCGTGATGTCTGTGCCTTAAAATAGACTTTTGGCTCAAATTCTGAACGTCATTATCCGTATGAACGGCTAGTTTAACAGCCACTCCATCATTAATGTCGAGACTGTTAAGGCTGACAGTGCTGTCTGAGAATATCATTGACGACTCGAGTGTCTCCTGCATAATGGCTGCCTGTGCCGTAATGTCAGCCAAACTGGACCGAGTGCTGGGACTGGGAGTGTGTGGAGTGCTCTTTGCGTGCATAGAGACGGCTGATGGTATATCTTCACAGCTGTTATGACGACTGGCCGGTAGACTAGTATACTGTCTCGAAAGAGCGCCCACTTTAGTCTCGAGTGTCTGTCTGTGAGCGTCTATGAGATCACAGGCCTGTCCTAACAGAACAATATTGATCACCAGTTTAAAGCTCATCAAACTGTTCAATGGAAACAAATGAACATTTGATGAATATATTGATGAATATATTGATGAATATATCGACGAGTGAAAGATATCATGAAAACATACCAAAGATATGATACGAGCAGACAAACCAATCCATACCAACAGTTCAAATTGAAAGATCCGCTCAATATTCTGATCACTAGAACTCCAAGAGGTAGAGGAATGAAACCCATTCTTCGAGATACTAAATCCGAGTGATCCGAAAAAGCCTAACCATTGAATACAAGTTGTAAAATTTAAAATTCATATACAAATTGCAATATTACAACTGTATAAATACATACACTCCTGAGTTTACTTGAGGCTAAATCATAGGCCAGACTAACAGCATATTCCTCATAGACTTCAAATGAAATCTCATTAAAACGCGTAACGAATGCGTGTTTAAACCAATCGACAAATATTTCAGCGATGAATACAAGCAAACAATCGGGAAATAAAATCCAAAATTGTTTTTCACTCCAATTGTATTCTTTCATCGTTTGAATGATAACAACAATCAAGAGAATTATGTAATGAAAGCGTTCCCTAACATCACTACAAGACATCTGAAACAGATTTGTTTTCTCAAACTTCTTGAATACCATTCCTTTGAGTTCTACAAACTTTGTAAGCAATTGTTAACAATTAGACTATGAATCAAATGCATTTTGTATTGTTTTAATTACATTATTAGACATCATGACAGTCAGCAATGCTTTGTTCTTTGAATTGATGGCCACATTCAAAGTGGTTGCCTGTAAGAGCACTAGTAGGCTGTGCGTGACTACACTCCAACACAAATACAGTATACAAATGTATAACCCATTAAATATCTTATAGACAGTACCACACAATACTAATACTTACACACGTAAGCGATAGCCATAGCCAAGTGTGGAATGACTCCCAAATGTTCCCTCTTCTTACCCCTGGGCTCGTTGGCCGTCCAGAACAGGGCGTCTAAGATGTCCTGACCAAAGGAGGACAACAGTTTGTCGGCCACCTGTGCCCATAACAAACATTTTCTATTAATTATATTTTTTTGTTCAGAAAATTAGTTTTTTAACTACAGCTCATTGGCAATTGCTTTAAGCTATAGTTGATTAAAGAAAAGCATTATTTTCAAAACATTTATGTCACACTTTAGATAAATGTTTTTGTTATTCTCCCAATCAATGAATAATTGAATGCAAGAAATAATTAAAATATTCATGTTTTAAAAGTTAATAAAAATAAAAAATTAATCAAATTTTACAAACGAAGTGAAATCTAGGAAATACTTTTTCATCAATAATCTGAGTTTGAATTTTGAAAAAGTTTACAGCAATGGTGACCCAAATATCAATGATTGATAGTATGAATAAATGCATAAAAATTATGATTTGACCAAATGTTAGATATTTGTGAAAAATATGGTTTAAAACAAAATAATTTGGTTATTAAATAATTGCTTGTTTGGCAGTTTGGCACTGAATTGAGTTTGAGCTTAATTAGTGTCTAATTTAAAGGTGTGTTCAATGAGTTAAACCCACATCTCGTCTAAAATTGGAAACGAGATTCCAATCAGACATGCATTTGATTTTAAATGAGATAACATTGAAAAACTAATGTCAAGCTTTGCTTTTGTTTCAAAACCACTCTTAATATAGAAACAAATAATTAGTCTTTTATTTATTTATTTAAAAATACCATTCATTTCACCAATAATTATGAATCTCATTAAAAGTTTGCCTTTTAAAACTAAAGTGTAATAAAAATAAACAAATATATGTTTAAATACCTCCAACATGTTGAAGAATATATAGAGTTTGATCACAGACTGGCTTTTGATGATATGGTATAACATGGAAGTGTCGATATAACTCATGAGGAATACAGCGCTCAATACTATAACACCTTTCATGAGATCACAGATTTCTGACGGTTCCAGTCCTTCCAACGGCTTCAATGAGCCCGACATTTGCCACGACTGGCCACTGATAAGACTGTGAGACATGGCATGCATTGAGTCATTGGAAACACATTTAAGACAATCAATTGAATACCAAAACCATTTGCTGAACGACCGGCTGATTAGAAACCAAAGGGAAAGTACGAAACGGATGGGCAGTAAAGTGAAGACAAAGAGGAAGGCGTCCACACATTGAAAGAAACCGTAGCACAAGAACTACGAGAATAGACAACAATTCATGAGTCCAGTGGCAGAATGGGAGGAAAGGGATGACAAAGCGATGAATACTTTTTCCAACTGCAAGGGAATCCTTAGGAAGATATAAAACTTCTCTCTCCTCTCAGTATATCTCTGTTCATCGTTTTCGAGGACATAATTCCTCCGCAATTCACTTCTTAAGTAATCAAATAGAGATCCAAACCCTTCAGCAAAACAAACAATGCATTCATTACTTCACGTATTCATCCATATATTGGTCACAAATACTGACTGAACGGCACTTCTTTGCCATTAGTTTTGGTCACTTTGTTGTGGATTATGTGACAATTGGTGTCAGCGGTGGACTCATTGGTCACTAACTTCTTCTCATTCAACCCATAGTTATATAAAGGGTTTGGGGTTTGAGTATCGGATGAGTGGATGTGGTCATCGGTGGTCACCACACATTTGACGGCTTTCCTCAGCTGTTGGTCGAGAGTGGTGTCCATCACATGAGTGTTCTCCTTGTCGTCCATGTCTT